TTGATAAGCTAGCCCAGGTGTGTCTGATTGGGGTTGAAACTAAACTTTGTAGGTTACCAGCCATCTAGGTCTGAGTTTAGGCACCCCTGGTGTAGATGTAGCCTCTTGTCTAGGCCTTGCAAAATCAGCATTTATAATTTTTTAAATTGTATTTAATTTAGCGATGATGCACTAAATCCATTAAAAGTGTGAGCAAAGACAACTATAGATTCATTCATTTTTCTTCAGGTAAGGTCGCCACAGCGGAATGAACCACCAACTTTTCCGGCATATGTTTTACACACCGGATGTCCTTCTAGCCACAACCCAGTATTGTCATTGTCACTGTCATTCCCAAACACACTGACACTACGACCAATTTAGTTTATCAATTCACCTATGGCGCATGTCTTTGGACTGTGGGGGAAACTGGAGCACCCGGAGGAAACCAACACGGGGAGAACATGCAAACTCCACACAGAAATGCCAACTGACCCCGCCGGTGCTCGATACAGCAACGGTCATGAGTCATTGTGCTGCCATATTTATAGATTAAGATTTAGATTTCAAATAAACACTGTTGTTTTGAGTTCTGAAGATAATTAGGCTGTAAGATTATTTAGTTATAAAAACATTTCTTTCAAACATTTTGTAAAAGAAAACATTTAATTTAAATTGTACAAATATTACATTTTTTTAGTATTTTTAATATTGCGGTTTTATTTCCAAGTTTGGCTACTATGACATTATAAATACGTAATAAAACAACAATAATAATAATACAAAAACAAATAAATAATAATGATGGTCTTTTTTTGACTCACCGGAAGTTTAAAAGTCTGAATGGGTTCTCCATCCTGGTCATAAATAAATGTCCCAAGCAGCTTTCCATCTTCAGTCTCATTAGACACGCCCTGAACACAAAACATGCAACAAATCTCTGTGCTGTTGTTTACTATTTATGAAAGAACAGATTACGTCACAGCTATATTAACACTGAATGATTTCTTTCAACAGATAAATGATGAAACGCTGATAGCCAATCAGAATCCATCCTGCTTTAAGACATAACAATACAGGACTTTTTTTTTTATTTCTTATCAGTCCAATGCAAATAAAACATCCAGAAGGCATTTAAGTATTTTTAAAGCACTTTCTGAGAGGCTGTACTCTGTAGATTACAATTATAATACATCTTTTTAAAGGTCCTTCTACACATGGTTTTATTAACTGAACTTTACAGTTCATAGCTATATTCTGAATGTTTTTACAGAAGGATATTCTACAAATGAATTATTTTATTTAAATAAATTCTGTTTTTTTATTTTTACTGGCAGTTCCCAATATTTTCTAATTTATGAAGTGATATTTACAGCTCTGTAAAATACCCTACATTAAAAAAAAACTTTGATTTAATAAGTCCAAACTATTTTCCCAACTTTAATTCCATTCAGATTTTTATTTATGCTAGAAATGTATGCAAATAGCAAATATTTAATAATGTCTCATTTGCATATTCAAAGAACATGCCATTTTAAACAACAGATTTAAACTTGTGATACACAAAAACCTGTCATTCTGAATGTAATCAGTCAGTTGGAGAAGTATAGTGGTAAATATCACTGTGCTATAAATATACCCTATTCCAGTACAGTGTCTTGCCTTAAAAGCAGATTTGAAGCAGCAGAAAAAATGTAGTGAACCATTATAAATATCATCTGCTAATCATTCTTACTGTAAACGGGGCTTTGCAAAGAAGAAAAAAATCTAATATACACTCACGTAGACAGAAAAGTCCTTGGGCGCGCTGTCCAGGCGTCCAGTGGGTGACAGATCTTTGGGAATGTGTTCAAGTGTGACATGCGTGATCGCAACGGGATAAGACAAGGAGATCACCAGAAAACCCTGAGAGCCTCGGAAAGCCCAACACTTCCCGGGATACAGCTCCGGCTAACAAATAAACACACACACAAACACACGCAAAGAGGGTCAGATCTGTTGAGCTGAAGGTGGACAGTGTGATGTGGGAGTGTTTGTGTGAGCTGTTACCTGTATAACTGTACGAGGGCTTTCTGAGTGATACCACAGAGGAATACCGAATAAACTGAGACATGCAGACCTGGTCTTATACGTCTCTGAACAACGAGTGTTTAACACACTGGCACCTGCACAAACACACAAGCACAGACAGTACAGTAGATATTTGATGTTTGGGAAAGGCTGCATTCATTTGATCAAAAATAGTTAAAACAATTGTAGTGTGAAATATTCTAACAGTTCAAACCTAATATATCTTTATTATTATACTGTATATACCTGTATTTTTAAAATGTTATTTATGTCCATGATGGTAAATCTGAACTTCCAGCATTCAGGCTTCTGATGTCTGATGATCTTTAAGAAATCATTCTAAAATGTTCATTTGTTGCTTTAGAACTGTTTATCAATGTTAGTTGTGCTGCCTTTAATATTTTTGTAAAATCTATATATTTTTTAAAGATTTTAGAAAGCAACCTTACAGGAATCTTACAGGAATATTTGAGAGCCCAAATATTTTAAGGTTCCATGAAATTAAAATGTAAGTTTTTTTTTGTGTGTGTGTTAATATTGATATTGTTAGTTTTTAGGGCATCTATAAGCTTCAGAACCTGGCGCAGTTCGTTTGGCACATGTGAAACCAGCAATCGCGCTCAGATCCACGCCAAAACAATTGGTCCGAGTTCACCAGAATGAGGTGGTCCCGGCTCAATTGAAACAAACTCTGGAGCTGATCAATTGTAGTGAGAAAGCAATATGATCCAACAAACTAACGAACCAGGCTATATCACAGTGTATTATGGATATGTAATGGGTAGGACCAGATGAAATCTGCAAGCATTTTTTGCGCAGAATTGTGTAAAAAATCTGCGGATAATGCGGAACGATTTTGGGAGTATCATAACTAAAACCTTAATATATGAAATAAAAATTAATACCTTTTTAACTTTTATTTAATGTTTACAATGCAAATCCAATTAAATCCACTTTATTTGGTAAACAAAGCAAGTCTCTCACATTATCTCATAATTCTCTCTACTAAAAGACAGAAAATATTACTATACAAACTGTATTGTAAATAAATCATATGACGTTTTATATTAATCAATAATATTACTGAAATTAATTTAAAAACTGAAGAAATATAAAATGTACACACATTTACACAAGTAAATAAACAGAATCAATGATGGGCTAAAAATCTGCGGAAATTTGCAGAATTCTGCACGTGGAGATTTCGTGTGGGCCTAGTAATGGGCATATATGGCTATATGAAGAGAGAATGATGATTAGGGCAGGATGACATTCCTACCAGTGAATGTGCATTTCATGTCCGATACGAAAGTAAAAGCATACTGAAATATTAATGAGAGCCGTTTATCCATTGGGAAATTGACTGGACTGCAGTTTTGGTTTATTTGTTATCTCTCTCTATATTGTAACGCAAATAATGCGTAATTCTAGCCAAGGCCTGTGTATGAGAAAGTCTTAACTCTGATTTATATTTATATTATATTCAATTATATTATATTTGTATATTTTTTTAATGTCATGTTGCTCATCGTCATAAATTAAAATGAGGACGCATGACAGCTGAGCGGGACTGAAAAATAAACCTTGGAATTCTGACCAATGTGAAAAAGAGTTCACTCGCATACAGGGATGTAGCGGACATTTTAAAAGTGCAGGGACAGCTGTATGAGATCCAAAAGTTTACGTTTATATAATTATTAATTACCTGTTTCTAAATGGTCTGTCTCTAAAAGTGAGGGGGACATTATGTTTCAACAATATTTCTCTATATTAACTTTTTCCTGAAATTTTGATTAACCATATACAGCCTAGTTACATTTATTGTTTAAAGTAAGAAAAATGGTGATCCCTAAATTTAATCCATGGATGTATGTTAGTATGTGTGTGTGTGTGTGTGTGTGTGTGTGTATATATATATATATGTAAATTAATAAATTCAGTTATCAAGCAGAAAACTGGTACAATACCTGAAGATTCCAAAGCATAGTCTGCCAATCCAATCCCATCCGCTCTGTACAGACTAATAGCCCTGTGGACGATTTCTTTCACATCCTGTTATTAAACACACACATAAAAAACACCCTGATTCTCAGATAAAGTCACACTCTCTCAAAAAGAAAAAAGTCTCCTGTCAGACACGCACTTGTATAGTAGCGGCTCCGGCTCCTTCCTGCTGCAGTGTCTCTCCAACAGTCCTCCAGACATCTCTGCTGCTCCCTTTCTCATGTGCTAGTTTCTCTAGTATCTGCTTCTCCAGATCCTGTAGCGCCCTCTGCAGCTCCGGGCGCAGCACTATACTTGAATCCAGTGAGCTTGGATCTTTCAGGTGTTTTATTAGCCAATCAGACAGCTCTGCTCTCAGCTGCACAGTAAATGACATCATTAGTTGCAAACATTGATGCTCCATTGTTTAAAATGAGCCAAAAACATGCCCTTACATTGTTGTTATGAGCTTCAAGTGCATCGACTCTTCTCGTAAGGAGGTCTTGGGTTGAATGAAGGTTTGAGATGCTGGACTTCAGCTCAGAGATCTGCTGACCACGTTCAGATTCAGCGCTGGGAAAAGTAAAACATGTCATCAGTTGGATTAAACTATGATGCAACGTCTGCAAAAGCAGATTAAACGCTGCAAAGGGACTCACTTCCTCATGTGATCATTCATAGTCCTCACATCGGTTTGCATCATCTAGGAGACAAACAGACAAATAAACAATTAGATGGATGACATCATTTCCTGTTTTGTGCTGTGTTGCCATGACAGAACAAACAGAGGCGGTAGAAAGGAAGTGGGATGATGCTGTCAATGAAAGCATCTAATACAGAAACCGGTGTAAATGATTTGTTTGCGCACCTCAGATTTGGCTTTTTGTCTCACACTCTCTTCCTTCAGCAGTTCAATGTCTCTCTGAGATTAAAACAAAACACATAATGAGAAACAGGCTGAGAGATGTTAGCATGAATAATTGTGGTGAAGTTTTAATTACCATGAGGTTTGCCTCTCGTTTGTGCAAGTTGGCGATCTCGTCCCTCAAGTTAGACAGACTGGCATGCTGGAGATGATCCTAAAGAGAGACAAAGTGCATTTAATAAAATAGTAATCAATTTAGGAGAAAGATGCATTGCACAACATTGTGAAATATTAACTGGAGACTTTAAACTCACATCAAAAACTGCTTTTACAGGTCTATCTGTGTGTTTAACAGGGGGAGTGCTGGTAACAACAACAACATGGGGTGCAGGACGAGACGAAAACGGGAACCAGTACCATATCCCTGCAACAGAATTTCAGGTAATTGCATATTAATGTTTTATACTCCGTCATGAACATGTGCATTATTTACAGCTACATGCACATGGTCTTTAAGGTGTGAAGTTAATTATCTTGACCTGCATAGATTTCATTAGAAGACTATATCTGTCTTACCAAAAATGAGAAAGATAAGGAGGAGGACCAGCAGGACCGCTTTTTTCATATCAGCTGTGCATCTACAGTGGAAATAGAAAGCAGAGGTAGTCATGTGAAGATTCAGTTCAGAATATATCATGGGTTATTTACTGTATTGTATCATACAGTAAGGTCTAATCCCAATTCTCCCCCTTGCCTTTACCCCTCAGTTTGCCTGTTCACATGAAGGGGTAGGGGTGTCCCAATTCTCTTTAGCTTGAAGGCGTAGGGTTAAGGGGGAGGGCTAGATAGCCCTTGAAACAAATTTTTTTAGGACCACACTTGGAGCCAAGGGGTACGAAAATTACCCAGAATACACCATCTACAATGGCAGCATGGCTGCTCACGTACAGTAAGTCAGAAGGTGTATAAAGTATTATTTTTGACATTACAAATTTTTACAACAAACAAACACGTTTGAATATATTCATTATATTTTTTGTGTTTTTCGTCATGCTATAAAACAACACCAAAATAAAAAGTTAAATTTCGCATCTATAATCCCTAATAATAACACCTGTACAGCAGTCCCACAACAAACTTTCACATCTGACATTCACTGAATACCCTGCCAGAAAAGTCTAGTGGCTGAGAATGAGCTTTTTACAGTGTCTGCTATAATGTGAATGTTGTTTTCGTATGTTTACATGGATGAATATGGTCATGGTATAAATGCACAGTACAGTTATGAGCTTATTGCCACATTATATTGTTATGATAAAATGATATCGTTGCTTTCAGTAATTTCTTGAAGATAAAAACCAAATAAAACTAAACTGGAATAACAGTGGCCATCGTCTGAGTAATCGCAATGACAATATAATGGCGTGTGCAGGTGTTGTAGTGCCGTCCCATATCTTAGGGGTAGGGTTGTAACGGTATGAATTTTTCACGGTATGATAATCGTCTAAAACAATACCACGGTTTGACGGTTTCGCGGTATACGGTATGTTACAAAATAATAGAACAGTGAAGCAAATTTGACTTTTTCCAAATAATATATTTTTAGTTACTATAAACAACACCGCTTACAATGAACAAATAAAAATAAGAAAATAATAAATAATGTGTCAAAGTCCAAATAAAGTCCAAATAAACATGGTGCAAATCCTCAGTAAAAAATAGATATAAATATTTACTATACAATAAATAGTTACATAACGAAACTAGATTCAATATGGAACATCCTTGATATGGTTGTCTGTGGATATGGATTTGGATATGGTTGTCTGCAATGCAGACAAACAGCTGCATCTTCATTTGCGTCTTTTGAAAACAGCAAGAGCAGCAGTTCGTCTTTGCTGTGTCACTGTTTTGTCATGTTTCTGTGCTGCTGTGCATGCAAAAGTACTTAGTATGAGAATTATTTCATGCAAAACTTTTTTTTTTTGCGTTTTTTTTTTTCTTTCTTTGCGAATCTCTCATTCCGTGTTGTTCAAAAAGCTCAGTGTTGGTCCACAAACAAAAGCGAAACCTATGCTTATTGGTTGTGACATAGCGAGTTTGAACCAATCTGGGCATGGAGGAGGGACAATGCATCAATGTATCATGTCTGATTTGTCCGGAGACACAGTGACGAGCGTTTCTTTGTCAAATCAGCGTTGTCAAATGTTGATGACGTAACCGCACTGATTCCGGAGCCTCTGAAAGTCCGCGAATGTTATGTGATACAGCACTGGAAAGCTGAGATTCTCTTCTTTATACCAATCTTTGAATTGTATGAATCGGATTAGCGGATCAAAAGTTATTAAACATTTAAGAGCAATACTTATTTTTAGCCGCGGGCGGCTGTCTTGGTCTTTAAGGGTTAAAACCATTGATATGCAATTGTTCATGGTATGATAATCGTGCACGTTCAAATCGTGGTAAACCGTCATACCGGTATATTGTTACAACCCTACTTAGGGGTAAATTTTGAAGACCTTACCCTTGACCCAGAGTGTGGGGAAGGGGCAGGGATACAAAAATTGAATTTTTTTACAATTGGAATTGGGCCTAAATGTTTCTTTTTGGCTGTTAGCAGAAACATGTTATTTTTAAGTACTGTAAGACTCATTTTTCAGCTTGTGTTTTGGTTATTCCGGCAGTAACAAACAAACCATATTAATGTATTTACACATTTTGATATTCACAGTAGATGTCAGACAGAGTTGCATATCCAATTAAGTTGACGTAAAAACAAATTGTGTGTTTTCTTCCTTATTGTGCCTTTCTGAGTAAAAGAGCTTGAACAAGAAAATGTAGATCAGAACTTGATTTTGTCCATCAGTAATTGATTAATGTATGGATGTTTTTTTTTTTTTGCTATTAGTGTATTTCATCTAACTGACAGGATCTTGACTTTGAAGTTTGCACAAATAAACAGGTCATCAGAAAAAAAACATGTTGTTCAAGAGGGAGAAAAAGCAGCTTTATTATAATTATCATTATTATTATTAGGGCTGTACGATTCGCTGCCAATGCTTTTTACTTGACTTTTTAACAAGACGCTCCTCGTATAGCCGTCTGTAGTGCTTTTTATGTGCTAGTTGTTATATTTCCACATGCTGTGGCAACAATTCTTACTCGTTTTTGTTCAGTGTCTGTGATTTTGAAACCAAAATGTTCCCATATTATTGATGTCCTATTTTTTCTTTGATATTAATTTGTCTATTAATAATTCTGAACCAGCAAATGTCATCATCTCGCACTTCATCACTGGGGTCCGTTCTTCGTACGTGGATTACTCAGTTAGCTGGATTTGGATATTGACGATTTGACACGATCCAAGATTGTTTCGTTCTTCAAAGCTGATCCGAGAGTTGTTGTCATGACAACAGTTCTGGTAGATCAAACCTGATCGGGAGCAGGTTCAATTCATATAAACAGGATTAGATCGGCTCAGTTCAAGCAAAGATAATACAGAAAGTATGTTCCGAATTCTGATATTTTCTTACAGTAGTAGTTATATACACTTAGGAAAATGGTAAATATTTTTAAACTATGTATATAGAGTTATAGTCATTAATAAAATAAATAAAGTTATACATATTAATAAAACTTATGCAATCTGCACCCTCGAAATGAAAGAATAAAGACTGCCACCTGTTGGTGCAAAGAGAAAACTTATTGATATGAACTTTTTAGATCGCTTTAGTACAAATTGTGTATAATAAAAGTTGACAATATGTGACTTTTTATAATACATTTATGCAGTCATAAATATGTTTTGACAGTTAATATGCCAGTGATTATGCTTTACAAAAGTTGCAGACACCTTTACCAATATCAAAATGCTTTTGTAAACATCCGAATAAAAAAACGGCTACTGTAATAAAGAAAATATTTTCTAAATGTAGAACTAAATACATTGATATGCATTGAAATACATGATGAATACTCTTGACACATGAAAGTGTGAAGCCTGCAGCTCACAACAAATGTGGAAAGTTCTTGCGTGTCATATTTAACAAGCCGTTTACTGCTAATTTGATGTAATTTTGCTCACATGGATAATTGAATATTAATCAGATGATGTCATTACGCTGCTGTGCCGTCAGCCAATCGTTGCATTGCTGATCATGATTTCGAGGACTGATAGATCTGTCCTTCATAACACACGCAACTATCTCAGATCAGTTTATCCAGACATTCTAATCTGATTTGCGAACTTGTTTGAAGAACCAAATTAGCGAGAGATCAGTTATCAATATTAAAAGATCCAGGATCTGCCAAATCATCTTAGATCATTTAAGCAAGGTACGAAGAACGGACCCCTGGTCTGTGCTTCCTTGTTTGTTTGTTTGTTTGTTTTTTTTTTGGTTTTTGTGGGCATTCTACATAGTTCAATTGTGCAATTCTGATTGGGCAGAATGAAAGTGTGGTCACTCAATTGGCTAATAAGAATGTCACACACAGACGGCAGTCACGCATTTGCTCTGGGTGGGGGACATTATATAATACATAAATTACATTTCGCAGCCTCTTGCGATTTTTAGCTAATCGCAATGTTTCAAATCACGATTGTGATTCGATTTTGATTAATCGCACAGCCCTAATTATTATTCTTATTTATTATTATTATTTTTATTAATAATAAAAAAGTACAATGGCACATCAATTTGAAATTTTGTGCACAGATAAATCATTTAAAATAAATACTTTTATGTTCATTAAACGGGAATGAATAATTCTGATTTCATAATGCTGCAATAAAATGATTTGAGTTGATCATATAAAAAGATTCTTATCAAATAATTTTTTTTTTTCTCATGTTCATACAATTGTAATTATGCAGAAACAGACAAACACACAGAGAGCACTGTACCGGCTGAGCAGAAAAACGTTGATGAAAGACAGTCGAGAGGTGAGGCTGTACCATGCAGTGCCCAGCCACCAGTACAGCAGAACCAGAGCTTGAGCTGTAAGGCACACACACACATGAGCACATGACTACTGCAGGAGAAAAAGACTGATTGTTCATGTTGAGGGCTGAACACAGGCTTTATACATGTAATACCTGGAGATTGAAACACGTCCCACACGCCAAAGCCTGGTTCAGCAGCAGACTGGGTAGAACCTGAATGGGGAAAAAAAGCGACTCTTTACATGGAGGGATTGTTCAACTCCAAGAGTTGGTCAATAGTTGATAGTAACCACTGTCTTCAATAGTAGGAATAATGATATTTGTTTGATCAGATGTTTGGTGACAAACCTTTTTCCAAACTAATTTTATACGTGTGTGTGTGTGTGTGTGTGTGCGTGTGTGTGTGTGTGTGTGTGTGTGTGTGTGTGTACATGTTTTTGTGACGCATCAGGACACAAATCTGTATAATGATATGGGTATTACAAGAAGGTGGTGAATTATGAGGATATTGCTGATTACCTCATTTCTCAAGAAGCTTAGAAATCACACAGAATGAGTTTAGTTTGCTGTGAGGGTTGGGTTTAGGAGTAAGGCCAAAGAAAATACAGTTTGTACAAAATAAAAACAATAGAAGCATATGTTATGTCCCCACAATTTACAAAAAGCCCTGTGTGTGAATGTTAAGCAGAATAAAAGAAAGGTGAAGGGTAAAATAAAATAAATGCTTCATTTTTGAGTAAACTTTTAATCAACCAACCAGTTAGAAATAGTTTTTTGCACGTATGAAATTGAATAACGAACACTTACTAGGGTTTGACTTTATGGGTTGTTCATAATGATCCTCAGCTGAGGAATATCCAGAGGAAAATCCTTGAGTAGGAATGCCTGAAATGCGTTGACAATGGGAATAAGTGCATATATTACAAGAACTAAATTTAGTAAAGCAATACTGTTTTAATCTACACTGTATGTACAGTAAATCTGTTATTTATACAGAAAATCAACATCTATATTAATAGCTGTACATGCATTCATACATGTTTCTAAACATGTGAAGTGAATCAAACTATTTGGGCAAATCTAAAAACTTTTGATGCTTCAAATGTTGATTACTCAGTGATAGATACATATTTATATTTGTTTATCTACATATTATATGAAATATTTAATTATTTAAAATTACTGACCATTCTCATTCTCAGTGGGGTTGAAGTCGATGCGCGGTGGCAGTATTAGACTCACGCTGCTCGCACGACTTGAATTGCGTGAAACGCTGCCAGTGCCCTTGCGGCTGGTCCTCTTCTGAAAAATCCTACAGGAAAGCATGCATCAACATGTATGGCTACTTTAAATGAACATTCAAACTATGTACACAATACACTGAGGGCTCCAGCATGTACAAACGCACCTGGTTGGACTCTCTTTGTAAGAGATGTGGCCAGTGGATCCAGTGGAACTGGTGCTGGCAGCGTCATCGTCAGGAAAGGACGTCGGTTTGGTCACTGATCTTGTGCTTCGTCTTGACATCTCTGCAGAACACATACAAACATAGACTGTGTAAAAGTACCTTTCTTTTTTCTTTTTAAGGTGACTGAATATCACTAATAGGGCTGCACAATATATCTTTTAGCATCGATATATTGCTATGTGTGAATACATAATAGTCACATCGCAGAACATGCAGTGTGGAGTCAGGACTATAGTTGACCAGGTACAACAGATCAGAACACATGAGAATTTCAGAGTCATTTCAGTTCAACCATAATAAAGTGAAAGTTTATCAATTTTTATTGTTTTTTTAAGGCCCGTGTAAACCTCAGAGGCGATTTTAAAGCATGTTGGCAGTTAGGAGCTATAGGAAATTATCATGTTTATAGCTTCAACAAAGAATAATTGTATTTAACTATTTACACAATGAAAAACATACAGCTTTATTGTTCATTAAAGTGTTGATGTTATTTCTGTACCTGTATACTGTTAAGACTACTTCATTTGTATGTTTGCTCTACTTTATTTATCTTAGCTTGCAATTTGTTTAATATTTTATGCACTCCCTTGCAAAACCAGCTCAATCAATTTTAGGCAAGGTTGGCCCAAAATGAATTTGCTGATCATTTACTTACCCAAGTCATCCAATATGGTGAGTTGCTGACTTTTTTTGTTTTTGTTTTTTTGTTTCATAGAACATGAAGATTTGTAGTTAAACCTGCTAGATTATGATTCATAAAATGGAAGTAAGCAGATACTGGTGCTTCGGAAGTCAATAAAGCACATAAAAGCTAAACTAAATGGCTCCTGATTAGGTCTTCTGAAGCGAAACAATAAATCTCTGCAAAAAACTGAATATTATAACATCATTACCTTTAGATTATTGCACTGACCAATCGATTTGCTACAGTGTGTCATCAGAAGCAAAGGGAATCAATTTTGTTTTGCGTGTCTGTTCTTTGACTCTCCAGGTGCTGATAGTCTTTGAATTGGATTATATTAATCAACATTGACCGCTGTGTTAGCCAAAAATCATATTTAATACACTAGCCAGACAAAGTCCCCTTCATCTTATTATTTTTGTAGGTTAGCTTTCCTTTTAAGGTGGTGCAGTGGGTAGCACTGTCGCCTCACAGCAAGAATGTTACTGGTTCGAGCCAGTTGGAATTTCTGTGTGGAGTTTGCATGTTCTCCCTGTGTTAGTGTTGGTTTCTTCCAGGTGCTCCAGTTTCCCCCCCACAGTCCGAAGACTTGCGCTATAGGTAAATTAGGTAAGCTAAAATTGTCTGTAGTGTATGTGTATGAATGAGGGTATGGGTGTTTCCCAGTGATGGGTTGCATCTGGAAGGACATCATCTGCGCAAAACATATGCTGGATGGTTTATTCCGCTGTGGTGTCCCTTGATTATTAAAGAGACTAAGCTGAAAAGAAAACAAATGAATCAATTCTTTTTAAGGCTGCTTTATGCCTGCTCGTTTCACAATTGGATTAAAAGATGCAATGATGAATAAAACCTAGCTAAATGAAGCCTGATCTAATCAACGTCAGCCTCTAGTATCACACTATTAGATGTAAATGCTATGTAAATGCATTACTGCCACCTCTGAGCAGCACCTGTGTAAAGACACCTAAATGCTGCTTCAGAAGTGTTTATGTGCCAGCAAGTTAAGCAGTATATACAAGCCTAGATGGGAACCATGTGCATTACATGTTCCCTCTTTATTATTGAATTTACTCATTATCTAAAATACTTCATGACTCACAAGAAAACCATAAAATGCTGTAAATCAAATCACCAAGCTCAAAAGCATCGCAACAAATGTAACATTCAATAAGATGCTGACCACAGTTATAAAGTGCGCTCTAATGCTGATCTTTGTGTAACTCCTAATCTCAAACGGCAAGCTCATCCCGTGCAGGGTGACGGAGCTTTTAGCAGCAGATTATCTGAAGGAGAGCACGTGGAGCAAATTCCCAAACCACGGACCTCCAGGTCCCCTTCAATCAGTTACATTAAGTCCCTTTAGTTGGATAATCTCAACAACAGACTGCACTTTACAGTTTGATTAGCTGGACTTCTGCACGGATGGAGAAATACAAACACTCGTTCACTGCTCCTGTAGACTATTTGTTTTAATAAAACAGTCATGATTTGGAATGAAAGCACCTATTATTTTTTCCCCCCACTACAAATCCTTAATCCTAATTCGGCTAATACTCTTGAGCAGAATTTAAATAAAACATGCCTGCATGTAAAACAAATTACTTGATGGCTAGTGGTGGGTGAAACGAGATGAAACAAGAAGCAAAATATTATCAAGTTCAAATATGAAGGTGTCAGCATCTCAGTTAGATCCTGTACAATTTAAATACACAATAGATGCTTTCAATGAAGCAAAAGATAGACTATTCATAATAAATGAGGCGAATGACACTACAGGCTTCAGCTTTCAAACTAAATCCCCCATCTTTAGATAATCTCACTAACAGCTATTTTAAACTGACAGTGTTGTCTCAACAGTTCAGATGTGCTCATTAGTTTCATCATTCAGTTTGTTATTTGATCTTTTTTATTATACATAATTAATGTTTTTTGTTAACTGGGGAACCTGTGAATCTATTTTCACAGTCCCATTACACCGTTGAGTATATACAAACTATTAAAAAACTAAATTTATCAATATTAATAGTATTTTATTATTAATACCACAGACATTTTGCACAATACATTTTGTTTTCACAATACATTTTTATTTCAGATTGTGTTCATTTTGACCAATACTCATTTTGTCATGCTAGCCTAAGCAAACTTCATATAATATAAATGTATCCATATTATGCTAACATTTAATGCATTTTATTGTTTACAACATTATCAGGAGTAACCATGCAAACCATTTAATACTGTGGTAATGATCTGGAGCCACAGAAGGGGGCAAAGTGAGTTTCCATTCTTACTTTACAAGACTTTGGCGGTTCTCTTGATATTTGCGCCAATTTCAACCACAAAGAGACGTTTCTTGGTTAAACGAGGTCATTTAAGTTTCCCTTTCCAATTGAAATGTTTTATTGGACGGAAGAGCACATACCTCATTGATGAATAACCACAAACAGACTTTCTAAATGAGATTCAACTAAACATTTGCAAATACGTTAACTGTTTACTAGCACATTCCTCTAAAGTGCTCCCTCAGCATCATCTCTTTAGCACGAATGATATGATGACTAGTAACATAAACACGCAACTTAACGATATATTTAAAACGTAAGTTTAGCGAATGTCTGTCTCACCTTCTTAGCGGGTCTCCAGGAAGACATGCAGCTTGTCAAAATCTATAGTCAAAACGCGATCCGTTCATCCGAAACGGCTCCACAATGACTGGGTAGCGAAGAAAAGAGCGGTGATACTCACGAGATGCGTAATACGTTACTCCCTTCGGTTACGCGGCTTTATAGCTAATTCAAAAGCGCTACGACAGGATGCTTTGAGGACGGAAGAAGAGCTCTTCTTATCAGGAAGGGTCTTTTGACAGTTGTCAGCTCCGCGGCTCCACCTCTCGTCGTCGTTTAGGGTTGTTTATAGAAAGATGATGTAGACTAGAAAGCAACGGCTACTGTCCTGCTGGCCTGCGCCATCTTGTGGACATTACGTTCAAAAGCTGCGTTTCACTCAATCGCAGAATTCATATAGTCGTTTTACCTAGCGATAAGGTCATTGTGTGTTTCTATTGTTGTTTTTCTTAACTTTAGATGGAGCTAAACTCACCCTTTTCGAGCAAATGACTATATGTAAACAAATATGGTGAACGGTTTGCAAAAATTCAGAAGTAAATAATGAACTACGTCACGCCTCGCTATCTGACAGAAATACAAACAGTAACGTTAGCGACGTAAAGCCTTCTGTCACCTCTGAGTTATGTTCACTAGTTTTGTTAATGAATACCCCTTAAACTCTTTTTTTTTTGCATACACTATTGTTAGAAATCACATGATACTGATGTATAAATTACCCAATGGCTGCTCATTATTAAGCTTTTTTTGGCAATCACAAGAGTAAATCTATGTTTAAAACTGTGTAAAATCAATTTTAATAATATACATTAAAATTATAGTTTTAATCTATATTTAACACTTTTTAAAATAAGGTTTCAGTTGTTAACATGAGTTGATTATAAAAAAAAAGCACTTGCCCCTATGAACCATTTTTTATTATAGCCTTTTAAAATTATTACCATGTTCTTTGGCAGATATGTTACCATTCATGTAACCACCGTTTTAGGCTAGTAAAAAACAATAGGCTATAAGGTTGTTGTAGCAAAACTGTGGTTAAGTTCAATGGTTTAATTGCAAAAACCATATTTGTTTGTTTGGCAGCCCCTTGTCTTGCATTTCAAACCATTTCTTATTTTGACCATGTCTGACATTGATCTTGAAAAGACCCAAAATAAAACTTTTAGCTAAATAGTTTTTTGCTATAAATTCTTAATAAATATTAGCTAACTCAGCATTATTTGTAAGAAAAACAAAAATAAATTTGTATGATAGTTTTTTTAATATGCATCTGGAAAGTATTCATTCATGTTTTCACTTTTTCCAATTTTTTTTTGTTACAGCCTTATTCCAAAATGGATTAATTTATTTAAGAGCACTTTACGGGTGCACGGTATATTTTTACCTTCTTTAAATATTTCTTATATATATTTTTACCCTTATATTTTTTTTAACCTGTTTTGACCGTATTATTTAAATATACATTTATTTACTGCACATTAGCTCTTCATAAGTGCAATATAAACAAGATCTTAACACATTTATTATTTTAAAAAGTTCTAAAATTGTTTAAGTAAAACCATCATTAACTATCATCATACTATATGTGCAGTAACATTTATTAATGCAATTTTAAATCCTTTTATTACTACTAAAAATAGTTATTTTTACTAACGGTTACAAAGGTTTATAATTGATGTAAAATGCTCATTGTTTTGAATCTGTGAAAGCGGGATGAGGTGAAACAAGTTATTTACATGTTTTTTTATTTAACGGTGGTGATAATAATAGGCCTATTTTTGGAAGATAATAATAGCTGATAATATTTACATTTCAAAATGTTACACTAATGTTACACACAATGTTGAGCCTACAGTAGTCTAATCAAATACATGCAGCCTTGGTAAGGGAGGAATAATTCTGGCAAAACAAACACATTTTGAAATAGTGATGTATTTTAGTATTGTTATATCTTTATATACATAAGATGGCGCTATTGAGCCTTGTAAGGCCCAAAGTGTTCAATGGTGGACCACGGATTAGAACTAGAAACTGTAGACAATTCACGTGAAATACATTCATTTAAAAATAGCTTACATTGTTTGCTTGTATTAACCACTTTCAGCAACGGCTTAATTTCCATCTGTGAAATCTAATTTTTCTTAGAGCTTTCATAGTTTTCACTCATCCAGAGAGAGTTTAAATCAATTTGCCTTCCTTGCATTTCAGTTCAATTAAAAGTAGCCTACTCCTAACAAAACATATATTTTTTTTACTTAAATAAACATTATGGCCAATCACACTGCAGGTTTATTCTATCTAATTACCTTTTCTGGAACTGACTGAGAATATTCTTACTGTTTTACACCATATACATAAACATTTACTTTAGCTGAGATGGCAGAAGCTTTGTGAAAAAGTTTTTGTTGTTGTTGCTACAGGTTGACAGACAGGGTTAATGCATTCAGAGATCCACTGCCATTGAAAACAATGCAATTTGTACCCTTCTAAATGAGTCAATGGGGGTTAACTGAGAGCTATCAGATCTAATGCAGTCTTGGAGGATTGGGTGAATGCTTAAAATGTCACACCTGCCTCAAACGGTGTTCACCTTGAAGGAAACATTCAAATCAATAGTCTGTCCTTAAGGGCTGCTGCGTATCTTTGCATTTCAAACCATTTCTTATTTTGACCATGTCTGAGTAAAGACATTGATCTTAAGAAATGCCTGCGACAATGATAGGCTTTTAGCAAAATAGTTTTTCTGTCATGAAGTATCTAAAAATATTAGCCCGGGATTAGCTGTAAGAAGAACAAAAACAATTAAAATTTATATATATATATATATATATATATATATATATATATTTATCAGTTTTGACAGTATTATTTACATTTATTTATTGTCCATAATTCTTAATTTTCCTTTCACTTAGTCTCAGATTTTTTAGAGGTTGTCAAAGCAGAGTAAGCCACTAACTATTCCGGCATATGTTTCACGCAGCAGTACTGGGAAACACCCATACACTCTCGCATTCACACGCACTCGCAAACTAAGGCCAATCTAGTTAATCTAATTCACCTATAGTGCATGTCTTTGGACAGTGAGGGAAACCAGAGCACCTGGAGGAAACCCACGTAAACATGGGAGAACATGCAAATTCCACACAGAAATGCCAAATGGACCAGCTGGGACTCAAACCAGCGACCATCTTGCTGTGAAGCATACTGCACATTATCTCTTCAGGAATTCAATATTTTTTTAAAAAAAAGGAAGACTCTATAAAATCTTAACACATTTATTCTTATATTTACTCAATTTTCTTAAGTTCTTAAAGACATTGAAAGGTTTATCCTTTTTTAATTGGCTAATAGGATTTGACCAACCTGATCTTACAAGAAAGTACAATTGTTTTCTGGGGTATTTTATGAATTCGTATATTATAAAAAATAATTTTTAGAAGGAAAAAAAAGACTTGGGAAAAAGGACAAAAAAAATTGAAAGCACAGTCCCTAAAACAGTCATCACTGCACTGTAAAAGCCAAATGGTTCGTTCTAATCAATTCAGCTTTATTTGTATAGCGCTTTTACAATATAGATTGTGTCAAAGCAGCTTCACATAACTGGTCATAGTAACTGGATCAGGGTAGTTCAGTTTTTAGTGTTTAAGTTCAGTTCAGTTTAGCTCAGTTCAGTGTGGTTTGAAGTCATTATTGAGAGTCCAAACATTAAAGAGCAAATTCATCGATGTTTTCAGATCCTGAACCATGCAAGCCAGTGGCGACAGTGGAGAGGGAAAAAAACTTCACCAATAGAAGAGTGAAGAAAAAAAACCTTGAGAGAACCAGACTCAGTTCGGCACAACCATTTTAATTTCTCCGCTGGCCAAAAGTCTTGTGCAGAGATGCAGTCTCAGCAGTGGAGGCTGGAAGCTGGCCTCAGCGAAGACTCGTCTGTCCCTGGAGCGTCGCTGGAATCAGTCTCATGCTCTCCACTCCCCTATGACCAACAGCAACGCAGCAGATCAGGATACGGCCTGGTCCCGGATATGGACACCTTGGCATCATCTCGTCGCTGGTCTTGGATCCAATCAGTGACTCCGCATAATCTGAGGACCTCGGGATGAGTATCCCCAGGTGGATATGGAGAAGAAAGAGAATAATTAGCGTAGCTGCAGTTCATAGTGTATATAAACAAGACGTGGAAACTTATGTGGAAACCCGCTAAGTGATGCATTGAGTGTATGCTTTACTAAACAGATAGCCCTCAAATTGTTTAAGTTTAAAAACTAATCCCAATGAGTACTGTGAACTTAATCCATTTGAGTAAATAAAGCAATTTGAGTTCATTAGACTCAATAAATGAAGAGAACTCAAACCAACTGAGCACTGTAAAAGCCAATAAGTTAAGGCAACTCAAACCGTTTGAGAAAACCAATTGTAACAAACCATTTGAGTTAAAAACTAATATATATGAGTACCATGAACTTACTCTATTTAAGTTGCAGTAATGAGGTATTTAATTAACTTATTACCTTCAACACTGAGTTCAAAACTCTTTTTAAATGAGTAGAATTAACTTTTAGTCAATTCTGAGTTAACTACACTCAGTTCATTTCATATAGTTGACTGCTGGATTTACAGTGTGGGGTAATAAACAGATTCGCCAAATTGGAGGCTAATTTAAATAAATTCGTAAAAAAAACTTTCATAAAATTACTTATGAGTTAACATAAGATTGTGTTGTTTTGTTATGTTACTTGCTACTACGTGTCTATTATTAGTCAGAGACATTGGGGATGAAGTCTAGATAGGATACAGCTGTGAATACACACGCCAATATAGCATCATTTTGTGACACTGTATAACAACAAATAATATTTTTACAGTACTCTGACGGTGGGGTTTAGGGCTGGGGTACGGGTAGATGTTAATAAAATACAATTAATGGGAAATTTAAAAAATAATATTAATAATTCTGGATGTCAAGGTAGCGCACGGTAGCCTCATAGCAAGAAAATCGCTGAATTCAAGCCTCGGCTGGGTCAGTTGGCAATTCTTTGTGGAGTTTGCATGTTCTCCTCGTGTTCACGTGGGTTTCCTCCAGGTGCTCAAGTTTCACCCTCAAATCCAAAGACATGCACTATAGGTGAATTGGGAAACTAAATTGTCCCAGTGTTTTCCAGTGATGGGTTGCAGCTGGAATGGCATCCGCTGTCTAAAAAATATGCTGGATAAGTTGGCAGTTCATTCCACTGTGGTGACCCCAGATTAATTAAGATATTAAGCCAAAAAGAAAATGAATGAATGAATGATTATCTTAACTTCCGGCCACAACCGTATCTGATTTAGCAACAACCAATGTTGGGGGTGTGGCATTCTTATTCTACATAACATGTGAT